AGGACACCAGTGGGAGGCCCCCCCCCTCATCCCCCTGTCCTCTCCCCCACCTGGGGTGAACCGCCCCCCCACCCCCAGCCCCCCATTTTCTCCCCCCAGGAGGTGGACTGGGAGGTGGAGCTGGCTGCTGTCATCGGGAAGAAGGGGCGGCACATCGAGGTAACCTCCCAACTGTCCCCCCGTTCTGCCTTTCGGTGGGGGCTGTGTGTCCCCTCCCCGGTTAAACGGGTCCCCGTTGTCACACACACACCCCCCAAGGAGTCAGCGGCGCTGGACCACGTCGTGGGCTTCACGGTGGCCAACGATGTCAGTGCCCGGGACTGGCAGATGAAGAGGAACGGGAGGCAATGGCTGCTGGGGAAAACCTTCGACACCTTCTGTCCCCTGGGGCCGGCTCTTGTCACCAAGGAGGCGGTGACAGGTGAGGACAGGGATGGGACGAGGACAGGGGTTCTTTCCCGGCTAACAGAGGAGGAAGCGGGTGCTCAATTTGCCCGAAAGCATCCATGTTTAACCCCAAGAGGAGGGTGGTGAGGGTCCCACGGCGCTGTCCCCCTCCCCGGTGTGACACGTCCCCTCCGTCCCACCCCCGCAGACGTCCACAACCTGAGCATCCGCTGCAGCGTCAACGGGCGGCTGATGCAGGACAGCAGCACCAGCCAGCTCATCTTCAGGCTGCCCAAACTCGTTGCCTGGGTCTCCCGGTAGGTGCTGGAAGGGGGGAGGACGACACATGGGACAGGGTGACAACACTCCCCCAACGACCAGGGGACCACGGGTGACACCTCCCATACCCCCCTACCCAGGTTCGTCACGTTGGTCCCCGGGGACATCTTGCTGACGGGGACCCCTCCCGGCGTGGGGGTATTTCGGAAGCCCCCTGTGTTTCTTAAGGTGAGGGAAAGGTTTGGGGGGGGGCTCAAAATAGGGTTGGGTTGGCAGAACGGGGACATACAGGACCCCACGGGTGACACAGAGGACCCCACGGGGGATGAGGTGAACCAGTGTCTCCCTGCCCCTCACAGCGAGGAGACGAGGTGCGGTGTGAGATCGAGGAGCTGGGCGCTATCTGCAACAAGGTGGTGTGACGACGGAGATGCCAAATTTCACCCCAAATTCGGCTGCCTTGCCCCCACCCCCATCCCGTAAGGTTTAATAAATCCAGGAGTCGCGTCGGTACCTGCTCCCCGGTTTACGGGCACCGCGGTGGCCGTGCTGGCGCCTACGGCATGGTGAACTGCTGGATGAAGGCTTCCAGTTTGGCCCGGTTGGTGCTGGAGCGGAAGGACTGGGCGAGGTGGAGCAGGGGGCCGGCAGGGGTCCGCACCTCCTCCAGCACCTGGGGAGGGAGAGGAGTGTCACTGAGGAGGGGGGGGGACACACAACAGCCGGAGGTCTCATGGTGGGGTGACGCTTACCCCCATCTCCTTGAAGGTCTGCAGCGAGCTGAGGGCCAGGCTGCTGTTGGGGTGCTCTGGAGGGAGAGAAATCCCAGAGGGAACCCCCACTGGGCACTCACAGCCCCGTTTTGAGGGGGAGGGGGCTGAGGGGGTGCTGACCCCAAAAAGCAGGAGGGACACCCCGTTTTTCCTCCCGCCCCCCCTCACCGAAATCGTTCTCCTCGCTCAGGAACTGCAGCAGCGCCTCCACATAGGCTCCCTCTGGGGTTGGGGACAGAGGAGGGGACAAAGGGAGAGGGAAGGGGGACAGAGAGAAGGGGGGGGAGTCAGAACCCACACAATGCCCCCCGGCTCCCCAGGGTGGGGGGCACAGCCCCTCTGTGGGCTTGGTGCAAAGGAGCTTCGGCTGTGCCTCAGTTTCCCCCAAAGCCAAGCCAAGGCAGAGGTAAGGGGGTGGGCTAGCGTGGTTGGAGAAGCGGTTGCCCACCCCAGGGAGGGGGGGTCCTACCGGGCTGGGGCCAGCTGGGACGGTCCAGGAAAGCCACCGCTCTGGCATAGGTCCTCAGCACGGGGCTCAGGAGGCGGCAGAGGAAGAGGAGGAAGCCGTGAGAGCCCTGGGGCTCGCGGAGCTGGAAGAGTTTGGCGAGTTGGTGGCCGTCACCCT